AAATTCAGCCCCTTCCCTTCTTTAGGAATTCAATTGCATAAGAGACCTAATCTTGTTTTCTAGGATTGAGGGTTAAAACCACTCACACGTTTACAGAAATTAACCAGAAATCTCCCAGTCTCAAATCGATTTACTTAAGATTTTTTTACAAGCTTACATATTTCATAATATATTCTCTTTAAAAACTTAACTATACTAGTCAAAATATCACAACAAAAAGTATTGCTATTTAAAACTTGCCAGAAGGAAGGAGCATGGTGGTGGGAGCACAGGAATCGTGGCAAGCTTTTGGAGTCGACTGCTTTTCCGGAAATGTGTTTGACGTACAGGTTTGCTCTGTCCCTGGAGTGAGGCTAGCCAGCCTAGGCCTAGGGTTTGAACCAGGAGGCAGCCTTAAGCCCCAAGGCAGCTGGGGAAGATGCGGCCATGTTGTTCCTGGTTTGGCTGGCTCCTCCCAGGCTCTTGGGAAGTTCTTGCCAGAAGGAAGGAGCATGGTGGTGGGAGCGCAGGAATCATGGCACGCTTTTGGAGTCGACTGCTTTTCTGGAAATGTGTTTGACGTGCAGGTTTGCTCTGTCCCTGGAGTGAGGCTAGCCAGCCTAGGCCTAGGGTTTGAACCAGGAGGCGGCCTTAGTGGAAAGGAAGCCATGCTACCAAGCCGAAGGTGGGTGATTTTCATCTGTGGCCCTTGGCCAGGTTCAAATTGTCTTCCTGTCATACATTCTTCTAGGTGGTATAGCACTGTTCCGTGCGATGCTGTACAGAGGTAACTCGTGGTTGCTGTGATGCTGAAGACTGTGACAGTGATGTGCCAGTCGTGGTAATGGGTACACATGGCAGACAGTGTTGGCTGGAGCTTCCCGACTAAATCAAGCCTGGAAGCAGGAGCGTCATCCACTTCTGAAATGGCTTGCCTCCGGAAACTATGTAGAACAGTGCTCAGGCTGTTCTTTCATAGGGTCGCTATGAGTCGTCTACGACTCAACGGCATCAAACAACAACAAAATTTTTTGTAGACATACGTTACCATTTTGTTCCAGATCTTCTCTTCCCTTTATCCTTGTCCCTTTGTTACTCCTTTTGATTCTTTCATAATAACGTCTTCATGCAGAGTTCTGATCTGGGAATGAGTATTAGTGAGTCATTTTCCAGGGAAACCCAGCCAGAGCATTCAAGTTTCATCTGACAGCCTCACATTGGCCCATAATGCTTTCCAGTGAAGATCTGCTGACTATTTTTACATGTCCTGTTCTCAGAATTCCACCATGTTGCTACCTTCTTCCTCCTACATATACCTTGATGGCATATAGATTTGTGATTGTTGGTGGATTTTCCCCACCAGCTTATTTTTGGGGCTTATGAAGGTATCTTGTCACTGTTATAGATGCCTGCAAGCTTTGGATTTTACTCTATATTTCATCTCTTTTTTCTTATAAAGAAATTTAGAGAGATTACAAAAACTCCTATAACCACCATCTGTCCAGAATCTAAGATTCTTAGATTGTAAGTTAGCCTTGCTTTTAAATGTGTCTGACTTAAGCCCTGTAAAGCTAAATCATAGAAGCTGATATATGACCAAATATAGTTTGATATATAAATGCTTTAATCTTTGTATTTTATTTTTTTCAGTCACTTACTTTGTACTTGTTAATAGTCTGATTTAAGAATTCATGATACATGGATTTAGTATTGTTGTAATTACCCTTTATTTTCTGTGGTATAGTGAAAGGTTTGAGGGATTATTACACCAATTATTTTTTAAATCATGGGTTAGGGTTTTGTAATATGTGAAACAGATTGGTAGCTGGTGTGCAACTAATGCTATATATATATTTGAATAATATATGAAATAGTCATCAAACTTAAGAAAAATCCAAGTAAACTTTCTACCAAAAGAATCCTGTTTAAGATTTGGAATATGTATGTTATACATATTGCTTGGTACTTTGAAATGTAAGGATAATATTCTGGTTGCTTCTTCAGTTGTTTGTGTAGTAACAGTGCCTTGTTTTTGTATGATAGGGAATTTCTGGTTGAGGGAGAACTAAAACTACCCCATGTGTTACAGGTCATAAGTAACATTCATTGCTAGAGCTGCTTGAGGATCTTTTGCAGCTCCACAATTTTAATAAATTATATTTGCAAAATACTAAATAATTAGTTTTTAACCATTTTTCAGGTAAAGATTGTGAGTTAATTTTTTAATTTCCTAAAAAGCTTCCACCTTGACATTCTCTGGGTGGTGGTGGTGGTGGTGGTGGTGGTGGTTATGTGCTATCAAGTTGCTTGCAGCTCATAATGACCCTACATACAATATCCATGAACCCTGCTCTATACTCTGCCAACCTTATTATCTCTGACACACCTACCCCCATTACCCCAGGCACTGAATCCATCTCATCAAGGGTCTTATTCTCTTGCAGTGTCCCCCCCCACCTTCCCCAGAATGATGTTCCTCTCCAGGGACTGGTCCGTCCTTACAACAGGCCCAGAGTATATCAGATGAAGCTTCAGAATGCTTGCCTCCAAGGAGTAGCATGATTTTACCTTCTTTAGGGTGAACCTGTTTGTTCACCTAGCAGAGTCAATGGTATATTCAATACTCTTCTCCAGCACCACAGCTCAAAGGAATCGGTTCTCTTTCTAGCATCCCTAGCTATTTTCCAGCTTTGTGATCAATAGCAAGTAAGTGCAAAGATTGTGGCCTGGATCAGGCACACCTTTGTCTCCAGACTGACATCATTGCTTTTCAGTACTTTGTAGAGGGGTCTTTGACAGCTGACTTTCCCATCCCAATGTAATTCATCTTTTAATTTCCTGGCTGCTGGTACCAAGAGTGTTGATTGTGGAGCCAAGCAAACTAAAGCTGTTAAAAATCTCAGTCTCTTCGCCATCTATCATGATGGTGCCAACTGGCCCAGTGGTAAGAATCTTTGTTTTCTTGATGTTGAGCCTCAGTCCATATTGAAGGCTCCAGACTTTGACCTTCTGCAGCAAATGCTTCAGATCCTCCTCAGTTTCAGTAAATAGGGTTGTGTCATCTTCGTAACTTGGATTGTTGATGAGTTTTCCTTCACTTCTAATGCCACGTTTCTCATGTGTAAAAAAAGGCAAATTGTGAAATTTCCTGATCATAATGCTGGTGCTTTCATTCCATCTTTGTAATCAACTTTATATTTAAAATAATGTATAGCACTGGTCTTTATTTGCTGTTACTGTTATGTGTCATCGAGTAGTGAACCTATGTACAGTACTTCCGAACCGTGAGCCAATCTGTCTCTCACTCAACCACCTCCATTTTCTAAGTCAGTATCAAAAACAAATTCCTAGGGCAGACTTTCAGTTATATTCTCCTTGCTTATGTCTCCATTTCAGTTATGGTTACCAACCTTCTGCAGTCTCATGATGATAAGCAAGAAAGGTCATTTCCAAGGTAGCCCAAACCGTCATAGCTGAACTCATTCTTTTCACTTTTTTTTTTTATAAAGTTTGTCATTTTTGTACAAATACATTACTTTTCTTGAGTGTTAAACATAGCTTGTTTTATTGTACACCACTGGCAGTTTTAAAGTATAGAGACATACTGTTTTTTTATTGCTGTGTTGTTTTAATATTAAACACCTGATTACTTCCTAGATGGTGTTAAGGAAGTGGCTTATGTCCACTCAAACCAAAATGTGATTGGATCTAGCAAAGCTGAAAATCGTATGAGCCGATGGGCAGCACGGGATGTCTTTGAATTGAAGCAGTTTTCTCAGCTTCCTGCTAACATTGCTGTTGGAAGTTCTAAGGTAAGCATAATCTAGGCTAATAGCATCTGTCATTTTTATTACACTTTTCACAAACATTACTCAATATGATCTTTGGAGCACTCACACAAAATAAATGACTTATAAATCACTTAAAAAAGGAAATACCATTTAGAGATCTGTAGTCACCAAAGATGTTTTACATTAAAAGATAAATTTGTATCTGAATGCTTAGTAATGTTGAATTACTTAATTTCCCTAAATAAAATAATGGCTGTATCCCAAAAATTAAGAACTTGGGGAATTCTAGAACCAAAACCATTTTTATTCATATAAAAAAGATAAGTTTTATAATTTTATTTTTTCAGAAATTTTCATTTTAAATGGAGACATGCACAAAAATTAATGTGCTATAGAATAAAATGTTTCTAACAAAAGAATTTGTTTTAATTGTGATTTGAGTGAAAGTTTACAAAGCATGTTGGTTTTTCATAAATTTTGTTTTCTAAAATTACTTATAGTACCCAAGATAGAGTCATATTTTCCCTCCTTCTTTTTTGATTCTTATTTCCATTAATCCTGTACTACTACCCCTTCCCTTCCTTCAGGGCAAATACTGTTGTTTTGACTTTTTGTGGTCATTCTAAGGACTGAGTGCCTTCCTGGCAAAGTATTTTTATTATGTTAAAAGTAAAATTTATTATCTATGATCTAATTCCATTTTAAAGTGCTATTATATAGAAATAAAGCTTTGTATAAATTTTTTTTAATTAACAGTTTGTGAGTAGATGTTAGAAATACATACATACTATATCTACAAATGGTGGTTTAGTAGGGAATTGTACTGCCAACCCAAAAGCAGGGGGCTCAAATCTACCTATGGGGGCTCCATAGGATAAAAGATGGGAAGGCACCTTCTGTGCAGTTTATATCCTTTGAAAACTCACTGGCAGATAAGCTGCATGTCACTTTTGACTCAAAATCAGTGAGTTTATGAGTCAAAATTGAAGTCTGTAGGGAACCTGTGAACTCCCCTGCTGTCTCCACTTATGTATACCTCACCTGGTTTCACAAAGGATTTAATGTGTAGATTGTGGTTACAATCTGCCAGCCACTGTGAGGGAAAAAGAGGAAGTCTCCCACCACTATGAGAGCATTAGGGTATAGGTTAAGCTTTAACACCTACTGGAGGCTTTCCATGAATCAGAACCAACTTAACAGCATTTGAAGGACATTTGTGATACAAAGTTTTAAATCAAGGGTACATGGTGATATTTTAAGTAATTTATCATAGAGGATTCTTAGAATAAATGTATTTATAATCAATATTATAAGGGACTTTGAAATGCTGTGCTTTTAGCACTTTTCAACATATTCTGAAGTTCCAGTGACAAAATAAAACTCATGAAAGCATTCTTTCATGACTCAAGTATACTATTTTTCAGATTCTCATTTGTTACAACAATATTTCCCATCCAAGAGCCTTCTTACAACCTTGTAGGAGCCTCTCTTGGACTAGAAAAACAAATATTGTTGTTATGTGCCATCGAGTCACCTGTGACTCATAGCAACTATATGTACAATAGCTCTGAATCTTGCACGTTCCTGAGCCATTTCACTGTTTCAGACACAGCGACCCCCGTTACCCTCGTTACTGTGTCAGTCTATCTCATCCAGTCTTTCTCGCCTGTGCTGTCCTTCCACCCTTCCAAGAATGATGACCTTCTCAAAGGACTGTTTCTTCCTGACGGCATGCCCAAAGTAAGCCAGACAGAGAGCTTCAGAATCCTCTCCTCCATGTAGCAGCCAATTTCAACTTCCCCAGGGCAGACCTGTTTGTTGACAGTCCATTATTTGTTCAGTACTCTTCTTCAGCACCACAGCTCAAAGACATCTGTTCTTCTGTCATTCTTAGTCATCTTTGATGCTTAACAAATAATTGCAAAGACCATGGCCTGAAATGGGCACACTTTCATCTCTATACTGACATCGTTGCTTTTTAGCACTTGTCCCTTGCAGCACATTTCCCTAATTCAATCCATCTATTCATGTCCTGGATCTGAGCAAGATGAAATTGTTAACAGTCTCAATCTTGTCTCCATCCATCATGGTGCTACAAATTGGCCCAGTGATGACAATCTTTGTTTTCTGGATGTTGAGCTTCAGTCCTTTTTGGATGTTGTAGTCCTTGATCTTCTGTAGCAAACACTTGAGATCTTCAGTTTCAGCCAGCAGGGCTGTGTTATCTGCATAATATTAGCAGGTGGTTGATGAGTCTTCTCCAATCCTGACACCATGTTCATGAAGTCCAGTAAAACCAGTGGGGGAAAAATATGTCTCTGTTCAACATCAAGGAAAAAAAAAAATACTTATCACTGGACTGATAAGCAGTATCATGACAGATGGTGAAGAAATAATAAGAGTTTATAGTAATTTCATTTTACTTGGATCTACAGTCAAAACCTTTGGTAGAAGCAGTCAAAAGACATGTTGCATTGGAGAACAAAGACCTTTCCAGAGCCCTAAAGATTGCTCCTGAGAGGCAAGAATGGTGAAACTTTCATCTTACTTACTTTGAGTATATTTTCAGGAGGAACCAGTCATCATTCTACAAAAGGTAGAATGTTGACAAGAGTAAAGACACATAGTAAGATGGATGCCTAACATGGTTAACTCCCATAATGGATTTTAACAGAACAGATTGTGAGGATGGTGCAGAAAGGTCAGTGTCCAGATTTTTTGTTCATAGAGTCACTGAGTCATAGCTTACTTGATAGATGGCACCTAAGAACATAAAAAAAAAAACATGGACATACACACACAAGGCTGACTAAATCCAGATCTGTATCTGTTTAGGCTTATGAATCCAAGGGCAGCAGAAAAGGCTGCTGGTCCAAGAAGCCAAAGAAGGGATAAGCCACATTCCAAAAAAAAAAAAGCAAGGCAGTTCAGTCAGACTTTCTTATATAGGAGATTCAGGGGACACTGACACCCACTCACCCACCCAGTGAAACTCTCAACTGATTGACTGCAGATACTATCGGAATTTTTACATCATACCTCATCACAGGAATGACCACATCATAACCACCCAACCAGAGAACCATAGGCCGCCAAGTCGACAAACACCTTAGACCTCATAAAGTCATCTGAAAAACTATGGTTTTTTATCATAGAGTCAGAACCAATGCATAGCTGACCCTTCAGCGGGTTTTCAGAGGCAGTTAATTGCATGGGAATAGATTGCCCATCCTTCTCCCAAAGAGCAGCTGGTGGCCTTAAACCACGTGCCTTCAGGATTGCAGTACAGCTTCTTGTCACTAGGCCACCAAAGCTCCCTTGGAAAAGTATAGGAAAGCCAATAGTCTGAGTTTGCTGGAAATGTTCTTTATCATGATGAATATACTACAACTTCTCAATCCATTCATTTGTGGTTGGACATCTGGCTGTTTCCATGTTTTTGTGATGATGAATAATGCTGCTATGAACATTGGTGTACAAGTCTTCATTTCTCATTTCTCCTCAGTGCTCATTTTCTCAGAGTATATTCCAAGCAATGTAATAGCTGGGTCATATAGAATTTCTATGTTCAGCTTTTTGAGGATGAACCAAACTGCCTTCCAGAGTGGTTGTACCATTTTACAATCCCACGAACAATGTATAAGAGTTGCTCTCTCACAAATCCTCTCCATCATTAATTACTTGCTGTCCTATTAAACTTTGCCGCTGCTACTGGTGTGAAATGGTATCTCATTGTGGTTTCGATTTGCATCTCTTATTACCTGTGATTTTGGGAATTTCTTCATGTATCTGTTGCCTATTCGAATATCTTCCTCTGTGAAAATCCTTTCCATGTCTTTTGGCCATTTTGTAATTGTATTATCAGTCTTTTTCTGTGGAGGCCCAAGATTATTCTATAAAACTATTGTTATGAGACTCTTTTCTGAGATGGTATTGTCAAATGTTTGTTCCTAGTCTGTAGGTTTTCTTTTCTCCCTGTTGGGAAAACTCTTTGATCTGCTCAGGGATTTAATCTTGAGATGCTCCCATTCATCAGTTTTAGCCTCTTTAGATTGTGTATTTCTGGCTGTGTATGGCATTCTCTTTATACAATACACTAGGCATTCTAAGCTTGATCCCTGTTTCTTTCTGGTGAACTTTATGGTTATGGGCTTTTCTCCCACGCTCCTAGGTCTCTGATCCATCTCGAGTTGATTTTTCTGTGTGGTGTGAGATAGGGATCCTGTCAGCTTTCTGCAGGAAGAAATCCAGTTTTGCCAGCACCATTTGTTTAAGATGCTGTCATTTCCTCATTTGATGGGTTTTATTTCCTTTCAACTATCAGTTGACCATAGATTGTTGGGTCTATTTCTGGATTCTCAAATCTGTTCCGTTGGTCTATGTGCCTGTCATTGTACCAGTACCATGCTGTTTTTGTTACTACCACTGTGTAGTAGTAGGGTTTTTTGTTGTTTTTTAATTATTAAATTTTATTTTAATGAACATTTACGGAGATTTTGGGTTTTCATTCATTCATTGTTGCAATATTTTCTCTACCCTCCTCCCCAGTTCGTTCTTCTCCCCTCTCCCCCCCTTGAAAGTCGCAGTAGTAGGTTTTGAGGTCAGGGAGTGCTATGCCTCCCACTTCATTTTTGTTTCTCATATGTGTTTTTCTTATTCGGGTCTCTCGCCTCTCCAAATAAACTTGACTTTCCCTTTTGATCTTGAAAAAACAATTTGGTGTCTGTTTTGGGATTACGGTAAACTTTAGTATTGCTTTTGAGTAGGATTGTCATTTCCACACTATATTGAGTCTTCCTATCCATGAACAGGACACACATTTTTTTAATTTTTTTAGGTCTTTTATTGTCTTTCACAAATGTTCTATAGTTTTCTTTATTTAGATCTTTGTGTTGTCTAGTTAGGCTTACTCCCAAGTATTCCAATATGTGGTTGGTTATTGTAAATGGTATTGCTTTCTTGTTTTCCTTCTCTGAGTTTGCCTTACTATTGTAGAGGAATCCCAGTGATTTTTTTTAGGTTGTTGTTGTTGTTGTTATGTGCCATTTTCTAGGTATTGATCTTGTATCCTGCCACTCTGCTAAATTAGCCTACTAAATTTTAACAGTTTTTTGTTGTTATTGAGTCTTTGGGGATTTTTGTGTATACACTATATTATAATCTGCATATAACGATTGTTTAATCATGTCTGCCAATCTGGATGCCTTTTAGTCTCTTGTCTTACTGCCCTAGCAAGCACTTCCAATAATACAGTATTGAATAGAAGTGGTGACAGTGAGCATCCTTTTCTAGTCCTTGTTCTTAAGGAAAATACTTTTAGTCTTTCTCCTTTGAGAATGATGTTCACTCTTGGTTTTGTATATGTACTTTTCACTATGTTGAGGAAATTCCTTCTATTACAATTTTGCTGAGTGTCTTAATCAAGAAGGGGTGTTGGATTTTGCCAAATACCTTTTCTGCATCAGTTGCTAAGATCATATGGTTCTTATTATTTACTTTGTTAATTTGCGGACTGACAATATTTGTTAATATTGTTAATCCAACTTGATTATGGTGAATTGTGTGCTTTTGGGTTTTATTGGTTAAGATTTTGTTACGGATTTTTACATCTATATTTATGACAAGTATTGGTGTGTAGTTTTCTTTCTTGGTAATACCTTTGCTATGGTTTCTTGCTTTGCTATGCTTGCTTCATAGAGTAACTCTGGAAGTGTTCCTTCTTTTTCAATATTTTGAAATAGTTTGAGTAGAATTGGTGCTAGATCCTCTCTGAATGTTTGATAGAATTCAGCTGTGAAGCTATCTGGTCCAGGACTTTACTTAGGGGGAAGTATTTTTTGACCTTTTCAATTTCTTCTTTTGTGATCTGTTCAAGTTTTGTGGTCTGGTCAAGTGTTCTATATCTGTTCTTGTCACTCGGGGTAAGGCATGAGTTTTAAGGAATTTGTCCATTTCCTCTAGATTTTGTTAGTTTATAAGAGTATGGCTTTTCATAGTATTCCAGTATTATCAATTTAATTTTATCTGTTTCAGTTGTGATGCCACTTGTATCATTTCTTAATTGAGTTATCTGTGGTTTGTTGGGTTTGGTTTTTTGATTTTTTTTTCTTTTGTGACATTTGCCAGTGGTTTGTCAATTTTATTGACTTCTTTTGAAAAACCAGCTTCTGGTCTTATGGATAGTTTCAGTTGTTTTTCTCTTTTCTAATTCATTTATTTCAGCTCTTATCCTGATAAGAGCTTTCTTCTAGATGCTGTAGGATTAAATTGTTGTTCTTTTTCTATTTGATGAAGGTGTTGAGTTAGATCTTTGGTTTTTCTTCTTTCTTCCTTTCTTATGCATGTGCCTATTGCTATGAACTTTTCCCTGAGGACTGCCTTAGTTGTATCCCAGAGGTTCTGGTATATTGTATTTTCATTTGTTTCAAGGAATGTTTTTATTTCCTTTTTTGTTTCTTTCATAACCCAATCGTGTTCTAGCAGAGATTTATTTAGCTTCCCCATGGATGATTTTGTAAACTTTACTTTCCTGTAGTTAATTTCTAGTTTTATGGCATTGTGATCTGAGAAGATACTTTGTATTATTTCAGTGTCTTTGAATTTGCTGTGGCTTGCTTTATGGCCTAAGGTGTGATCAATTCTGGAGAATGTACCATGTGCACTTGAGAAGAAAGTGAACTGAGTTTTAGTTTAGTGTATCCACAATGTCTAGTTGGCTGATTGTATATAGTTTAGATCTTCTGCATCTTTGTTGAGTTTCTTTTGAGTTGACCTATCCTTTGGTGATAGTGGTGTGTTGAAATCTCCTACTACTATTGTGTTGCTGTCTATTTCTTTCTTCATTTCTGATCCCTGTTGTTTTATATATTTTGCAGGTTTATTATTTGGTGCATACATATTGACCAAGGTTATGTCATTTTGATCTGTTGTGCCTTTAATCAGTATGTAATGCCTTTCCTTATCTTTTATGTTGGTTTTTATTTTGAAATCTGTTTTATCAGACATTATTAATAATTCATGTTTTATTTTGCTTTTGTATTGTGATTTGAAAATTTACAGAGTGAATTAGTTTTCTATTATCAGATATTCTTATTGCTGCTCCTGCTTTTCTGAAGTTGCCATTTACTTGGTATGGGGGTTTTTTTCCAGCCTTTGATTTTGAGTCTGTCTTTTTCTTCTTTTTTTTAGGTGTATCGCTTAGTAGGCAACCTATTGATGGGCTCTTTTAATCCCCCCCCCCCACACACTCTGCTTTTCTTTTTTCTCTTACTTGGTGCATTTAGTCCATTCACATTTAGTGTGATTGTTATCAGGCCAAGTTTTACTTTTTCTGTTGTTTTTTGTTGCTATGGTTCGTGCACTTTGAGTTTGTGTCTTCGTGTGAAGGACTGTACTTGAAATTTCTTGTAGATTGGTCTTATTTTCACAAATTCTTCAGTTTTTTTACTTTCTGCAAAGGTTCTAATTTTTCCTTCATAATTGATGGAGAACTTTGCTGAGTATGGGCTCCTTGGCTGGCAATTGTTTTCTTTCATCTTTCTGTATTTGCCCTCCCATTGTCTTCTAGCTTGCAGGGTTTCTACTGAAAAATCAGAATTTAAGGTAATTGTTTTCCCTTCATAGGTGACTCTCTTTGTTTCTCATATTGCTTTTCAGAATTCTATCCTTATCTTTTTATTTGGAGAATTTGACTATGATATATCTTGATGTAAGGTTTTTTGGGGGGTATAGCCTATTTGGTGTTTGCTGTGCCTCTTGATTGTGATTTCCCTGTTCTTCAAAATACCTGGGAAGTTTTCGTCTAGTATTTCTTCCACAATTTTCTCAATGATTTCCCTTTCACTCCCCTGTTCTGGATTTCCAGTCACACGTATGTTATTCTGTTGGATGTCATCCCACACGTTTCTAATGTTTTCTTCATTTTCTTTACATCTTGTCTCTGATTTTTCTTCAAGTATGTTTTCAGTGAAGCTCTTTTTTTCCATCTCCTTATTTATACTTTCTTTCTTTCTTTTTCTACCAGCATGTTGGACACTTTTATCATTTTGAATAATATTCTGGATTGCATTTTCTTGCTTTTCTGTTCTTTCTAGTACTGTGTTTGTTGTACCCTCTGTCTTGTGATGATTTTTTAAAGTTCTTGAACCTTTTTATCTGTACTATCAATTCTTCCAACTTTTTCTTTTCTTCCATAGCTGTTAAAGTTGTTCCTCATAAATACATTTCTTCTAGGTTGTTGTCTCTGGGGTATTTGCCTTCTTAATTACTTCTTCCATGACTTGCATCTTCTTCTGTAGCTGTTCAAATAACTTCATGTCATCATATTTCTTCTAGTTCTCTGCTTCTGGGATATTCATTGGGTCTGCTTTTTTAAGAGAAGGATTATTTTGATTTTTCATGATAACTGAGGCTGACTGCTTCTTTCTTGAAATTATGTCTTTTCTTAGTACATGTTAGGTTGTTGCAACTATATAGTGACCAAGAGTATGACAATGTTTTGTGAAGGACCTGTATATTTCTGCTCCCTTCTGGGCCCTAAGGCCACAGGGCCAGGGTCTAAACAGCAATGATCACCCCAAAGTGCCTGAATGGGAAACCAGGAAGCCTTGGTTTTCCCTTGCAGAACAGGTTCCTGTGCCTCACTCGAGCTCCTCCAGCTCTCTTGCTCCCTTCTCCTGTGTGGTCTAGCAAAACAGCAGTGATCCCCGCAAAGTTCTTAAATGGGAAACCAGTAAGCATTGTTTTTTCTCTTCCAGAACTGGCTCCTCCACCTCACTCGAGTTGCTCCAGCTGTCCTACTTCTTTCCACTTGAGCTTAAGGCATCCTGCGTGGTGTAGCAAAACAGCAGTGATTCCCCCCAAAGTACCTAGTAATCAGCTGGACCAGATCCATGGCTGCTGATGACATGATGCAGCAGATGCTGACAATGCAGAAATTATTTTTAAGCTTTGTTTTTTTTCACCTTGTCTTGCATTCAGACATACCAAGAAAAAGTCAAGTTGAATACATTGACATATAGTGAGAAAAGCCAGCAACCAAATGAAGGAATTGATGTTTTATACCCCATAAGCCAAAAGGAGAAGAAAATCCACCACACAGACCGGACCACCTTCATAATTGGAAAAACACCAAAAGGGATTCAAAGGTATATCATCTGGATAACATTAGGCTTTAATGTAGCCTAATTTAATTTAGCTCTTAAATGTAGATTTTTGTAAAATAGGTAATTGTTTGAATTATGTTATACCTGTCATCTGACTATTTCGTAGATGCATGGATTTTTTGTACTTTAAAAATAAATTGCAAATGTTTTAGATAATTCTTTTTGGTTTTATTTTAGGTATTTCTTTAAGGCTAATCCAGATTTTATTTTTTTAAATGATTGTGGTTTTTACTTGTTAAATTAAATACTTTACTTATTAATTCATTGAATATTTATTGAGCCCCTAGATGGAGAGTAAGCAAAAGAGAAAAATACCCCCAACAAGATAGATTGACATAGTAGTGACTGTAGCAGTTGGCTCAAGTGGGTGAGAGATAGTGAGGATTGCACAAGTTTGGATAAGTTTCGGTTTCTTGTACAAGGGGTCACTGTAATTTGTACTCAATGGCACCTAACAACAAAAGTATATGTCAGATGTGCTGACTTATGAATATATAGTGTGAAACTAGATAGCTCACTGTGTAGTCATGAGGAGTGACATCAGACCATAAAATTAAAATTGGTAGAAAAAGAACAATTAAGTCATTTTAATATTATATGCTGAAAGAAAGATATGAACCATGCTGGCAAATAAGACAAAGAAGGGTTTCCTTTTGATTGGCTGTCAAAGATGATTTCTGTGCATAGGTGATACTTAAATAGAAACTTGCCATATGGCCATACCAACCTGAATCTCATCTAGGTTGGAAACTGGGAATAGTTTTGCAAAGAATAGAGTAAGACTGTCTATGCAGGGGGAAGAGGTTCAGTGTGTTAGAGGAACTGAAAGGATACTGGTATACTTAATGCATAATAAGTCAAGCAAAGAGTTGTTGTTGTTGTTGTTGTTGTTGTTATGTGCCATCGAGTCGATTGCGACTCATAGCAACCCTATGTACAACAGGTCTAAACTCTCCTCTGTCCTGTGCCAATCTCATTGTCTCCGACACACTCATCCCGATTGCCCCAGTCACCGAATCAGTCCACCTCCCAGAGGGTCTTCTACTCCTGTGCCTGCCCTCCACGCTCCGAAGTATGACATCCTTCTCCAAGGGCTGGTCCCTCCTTACAACATGACCAAAGTATGTCAGACGAAATCTCAGAATCCTTGCCTCCAAGGAGTAGCCCAGTTTAACCCTCTCCAGGATGAATCTGTTTGTTTCCTTAGTAGTCCATGGTAATCCTCAGCACTCTTCTCCAACACCAAAGCTCAGAAGCCTCATTTCTCCTTCTATCCTCCCTGGTCATTGACCAGCTCTCTGATGCATAGCAAGTGATTGCAAAGACCATGGCCTATACCAGGCACATCTTAGTTTCCAGAGACACACCGTTGCTCTTCAGTGCTTTAGAGAGATCCTTAAAAACAGACTTTCCCCATCACAATACGCCTTTAATTTCCTGGCTGCTGGTGCCAAGAGTGTTGATTGTGGAGCCAA